GACTATCACAAACATCCGCCGGGCTACAGATCTCAAAACCTTTAAGATGCTTCTAAGGTCGTGGTCAGGTCCATCCTGCAGATGTGCGATGTGCCGTTGAACCCCCCCCCCCAAAAAAAAAATACTGGACTCTGATTTTATATATGTTGTCAGCTCAGCTGCTACTGTGCTCGTTCTCGCCACCCTTTCTGTAATGTTTGTTACTTTTCGCACTTTTGCGCCTGATCGTTGTTCATATTTACATATCTTCTTTTGCATTTTAATTGCTGTAATTGTTCTATGCACTTATATCAGTTACTGTTAATGACTCCGTCACTTGTCTCGTTTAATTTTCATGTGCTGCACGCATATTGGTTGTTAACCATAACAATGTATTCCTCAGTATGAAATTTTAATTGACCTATTATTTTAGCATCACTGTGCGGTTATTATTTTAGTATGCGTGTGGTTATCGTATGCATATGTCACTTGTCTTTATAAGTTGCTATGTTTTTATGCTAAGTGTCGCCTTGTACAGTTATTAAATACAGCGTATGCTTTAGGTTTAACAAAAGTACACACACTACGCCTGGCGTCGTCGCATGCCATGCACTTTTTAATTATATACGTGTATATTTTTCATTATTGCACTAACGATAAAGAGTTTCCAAGCTAATGCTGATACATTTTTAACATTGTACCGTTTTTAAATAAATGAACAAATAATAATTAAATATTGAAAATAAATAAATAAATATTGGCTTGAATAATGAACTATAAATAAATATTGGCTTGTCTGTTTTCTTGTGAATATTATGCTTTATGATTGCCATAGCAGGCGAATAAGTACTTGAACTCTGAATTTCGATATCACGAATAGCGGTGTATTAAACGACTGCATAATAAATGTTTAAACGTAATATGTGAAATAATAAACGTACAATAAACATTTAATTTCGGTGCATCGCATGAACACGTAACGTTGTGTTCGTTTAATATATCGCAACATGCAAAACCAGATAATACAAGGAATGGGCACCCAATCTGGACTATCTTACACGCTACAATATGATAACTTATCAACTTGAAATATCGTATATATTCCTATTATAGACACTAGTTCACGAGTACGAATAAAATTGATATTATGAGCATCATAATTAGAAGGTATGCATTCATATGTTGTGTACAATATATTTGAAAAATCGTAACAGTCATAGAAAATTACACAAGAAAGTCATACTGGTCAGACTATAGAACTACCACATATGGGCTTATTATAATAATCCCTGGGGCACAAATTATGTTATTTATATTGAAAGACCGCAAAGCCTATGCAGTGAAATGGATTCGGAATCCTGGTTTCAATATCCCAATGCATATTTGCTCATATATATACTGCAGTCATGATGGCTTCTTTAGATACCTAGATGCCGCAAATGGCACGTCAGAAACACCCAGTTTAATCATTTACTAGATACATCGCGCCGCCATGTTGTGCTACGTGACATGCGACCCTCTAGTTCAGGTATAACACATTTCGACATAAGAGCTCCTGTCATGCTATACGGATTATTTATGCACCTAATTTTAGATAATTAGACACCTCAAACAAAACGTTTCTATGGTCGTATTTGGTATTGTCACTTATAATATAAGTTACAATGCCAAATATATATATATATATATATATATATATATATATATATATATATATCGGGAAAATATCAATTAAACTTGCGTGTGCAACCGCGCATGCGCTACGCCGTTTAATTATAGCCTAGTCATCGTCGCTAATAACACCAATTTTTTTCGCCAGGCGGCGGACCTTGTTGATCACGCCCGCCTGCATCAGGTTAAAGCACATAGAGATGAGCGCCAGTCCGAACACCACGTAAAACGTTATTGAGATATATCGCACCTGGCCAAAGTCGCCGCTAAGAAACGTTGAGCCCGGAACGATGTCCCCGAGGCCGATCGTGCTGAGCGTAATGAAAGTGAAGTAGGCCCCCTTCGTCAGGTCGTTCCAACCCTCCATGTAGTTGAATAGCCACGCGCCGCCGAAGACGTATCCGCCGAGCAGGATGATCGAGACAGAGATGGGAACTTCGTTATCCTTGACGTCAGGTGGTTTTTGCGCGACGTCGACGCTGACACTTTGTACGCTCGTGTCGTCCGTCCGAGGGCTGCGGCTGCCCGGAGACAGCGACAGGGTCTTCGATGGCGCTCGCACGAGCCGCGGCTTTCTGCGGCTGGGCATCGTCTGGTGGCGCTGGAAGGTGGCTGCTCTCACTCGCGTCGGCGACGACTTGGCGCCTACCTGCTCTTGATTAGCGATCCGGGGATACTGCGGATAGCGTCCGCTGAGCAGGTCGGCTTCGGATTTTGGCTGCTGCACTTCGCGTTCGTCGACTCGCACGCTTCTGTACTGCGCGAGACCTTCCCGGTCACCGCCACGTTCGTCCTTAAACATCACAGACCCGCGTTCGCTGCTCCTACTGGTGATGCTGTGTTGCGATGTCGACTCGCCTTTACCCTCCTCCTTCCTGCTTCTCTCCAACGCCTTCCTATCGCCGACATAGGCCGTCTTCTTCGTCAGCGTCGGCGTCGACAGCAGATCGTACTCGACGACCGTCTCCTTAGTAATGTTGCAATCCTGCGAGCGGTCGTCCTCGCTGTCGCTGCAGTCGGCGAACAAGCACCGGCTCTCTAGCGACAGCAGCGTCTCCGCATTCCCGTCGCCGCTGTCGGCGCCACCATCGGCCGTGTTTGTTGTGCCTTGTTCGGTGTCAGCGGCGGCCGTCGTCGTATGTTTGTTTTGCGGCATCTTGTCTCGCAGCGTGTACCTCCAAAATGGCCACCGCTTCCCATCTTTTGGCTTTGCAGCCTCTGCAACCACTGCCTCTTCCTCCATCTCATTTCCTTCCTTCTCAGAGGGCTTGCCGCCGTCTCGTGTGCCGTCGTTGTCCTCTTGAGCATTTCGTGTTTGTACCCTGACGGTGTTCCGCAGCTCTTCTGTGCGCGTCTGCTTTTGTTCTTTTTTGCCATCGCCAACGGCAGCGTAGCCGTCAGGTTTGGTTACCATTATCACGTTGCTAGTGGCTGGGAGATCTCCGTATCGGTGCGTGTAGTCAGGCAGCGGAAGCTCGCAGTTGCCCAGTTTGTCTATGCTGTACGCGTTGCCTGAAATCCACGAGTTGTGTTATATTAGTCTCGTAATATAATATGTAATATTAGGATGAAATCAATTATGGACCATAATTTCTTTTTCCCAGATGTCTCCTTATTATATTACAACTGATAATATCCGCGTGAACCATACATCTTATGAGCGCCTACTAATATTATTACCGTCCCCATAAACCATGTAATCCCCATAAGCTCCTAGTAATATCGGTTTCATCTTTATGAACCTTATAATTCTAAAAAGTTTATTACCACTGGTCATGTATATCGCTGCATATATACACACATTATAAAGCCTCAGCTTATTGCAAGGCCTCACATATCTTCGTATAGGGAGTTTTATTAATATTGCATACCTATTGTTGAACGCAAACAGTTACTGGAACTGTCAATTTTTGTAAATACTGTTTAAGTACGGACTTGTTGCCAATGATGAAGGGCATGAAATCATGTTCACATGTCAATTTTTGACAAATAAAACTTTTTGGGATGATGCACTCATACAATCTTACTTTCCGTCATGGTCTGGTTAAAAATATCAACAATAATCATAGCGTAACATCGCGGGTAGTGTACGGGCACTTATATAAACTCGTGTTTGTAGTGCAACAGCAACGCTAGTATAATATAATGATGGAACAATCGTTCTTGTATTACAATCACTAGTGTAGAACGATCGTCATAGAACTAGCAGTAGTGTATAAATCATCGCTAATATAAGGTCATACATATATCGGTTAAATCCATCTTTAGCGCAGAACCTCATCGACTATAAATCCATTGATTGTATAAAACCATCGTTATTATAGAACTCGCGTTACTATAACCGATTCTGGGCAAAGAACCATCGTTAGTAGAGAACCAGCGATTCTCTTCACCTATATAATGCGTATAATGAAAATGGTAACTACGGCGATCGATTTATCTCATTGCCATGTGATAGCACGTGGAAATTGGCAGCTCACATGTGGCGCTTGTATTCTCTCCAGTTATAGTGTACACGCAAACACACTTTCGTTACAATTTCGCAAATTATTGTATAGCACACGTATATTATAAATATCTGAACACTCATTTTGTTTTTTCACGTTAAATCGAAATAACTGTAAATAATTAATCAATTGAATTAAGTTGGGTCTCGGCGTCCATGAGACAGCGATGAAATTCTGTCCTCAAATGTACGTACTTGAGATGATAGAAGGGGTCATGAAAGTGAATAGCTTGATGAGGAGAGAAGTAGAGATATCTCGGAGGTAAAATGTAAAGTAAGAAGGATAAGACGCGAAGGAGGTTAGATATGCCGGCGTAGCTAGAGAAGGTCGATGTGCTAGATGAGAGGAGGGGAGAAAGAGTTAGACAATAGGAAACCCTTAACGAATTATACGACAGAAGATATGGGATACTGGTAGTATAGAGCTAAAGGAATTGTAGGTGAATAAGATGGAGAAGCGGAGATAGTTGATGGAACTAGAGGAGAGCGGAGATAAATAATTGTCTATACTCTTACCATAATGTCGCCCGCTCTTATCATTTGGGTCGAAAGCGAGCGATATGGACTTAATACTGCTCTTCATCGGCGGCTTCGTTCGTCTGGTCGATTTTCTTCGAGGTGCCGCTGCCGCCTGCCGCTCTCGACACGTATAACAGATTACCCTGTTATAGAACATTTTAAAGCCTACGGCCATGTAGTCGCCGAGGTTGGCGAGGCACAGCAGGGTGAGAGGGATGCCAAACGCGGCGTAGAAGATCGTCACGATGCGACCTTCGGGCGTCTTCGGTGCGATGTTACCGTAACCTGTCAAACACAAGATGAAACGTAATTAAATATATAGGAGACGAATGAAATGGAAAAGATAAATCGACAAGGGGATGATAAATACGCGTTTTCCATGGGTGTGGGATGGTCTGATGTATGAATATGCTCTTACGCACATATTATTATGACACATGTTCGTAGCTATATAATAGAGGGCTTGCAGCATGTACTTGTTGTATGAATCGCGAACAGTAAATCTAGAAATAGTAATGTTGCGAGCCGCTAGTTCAGAATGACGAAACGATATCGAAAAGTGTTACAGCGCGATCCGCTATCGAAGTATTAATTTTATACTGCACTGGAACGTCTGTTGTTGACCTCTTTCCTATCGCTTTCCACGCACGCACGCGCACGTGACGACGACGTTGATGACGCCGAAGAAGCGAAGCAATGCAAATTAGACACGAAGCGATTAAGCAAGCTATGTTAATGAGGATGCAGCGACTGTAACTATGATGATAGAAAGAACGAGCGAGCGAGAGGAGAGAGAGAGGAGAGATGTTGAAATAGTAATACCCCGTACAGACTACATGGTGAGAGAGAGGAGAGAGAGAGGAGAGATGTTGAAATAGTAATACCCCGTACAGACTACAATTTAACTATGATTTGGCGCGACCCAGGCAGTCTCTAAGGGGTATTAGATATATCCGCGTGTTAGATATGGGGAGAGCGTTGGAGAGGCGGTGCGGCATAGAAAGCTAGCCTGGTAGGATGCTTGGATATATATATATTTTCCCATTAGGAACACTACTCGATAGCACTCCCGATTTATATTTGCGACCTATCGAATCAGAATGCACTTTCTGACTCAAACAATGTGTTATTTATAGATGAGTTGTGCGCATATCGACTGGAAGATATCATTTAACCTAATTCACGCTTTGTAAGTGTGCGGTATCGTCATTAGATTGATTACGAGTCATCGCCATCGTTTCACGATAAATTAACAAGTGCTGAACAAGCCAGATCAATGAGGTGATCCCCAATACTGATTAAGGCTTAAACTGTTATCGGCTACACGTTGTAGCGGTGACTTCATTCATATTATACTACTCCCAGTAAAGGCCAACACTAAAGTTGTGAGAGTCTACACATTATAATAGCGAAGCCATATTGTACCCGCGTCTACACGATGGACGCGGCTATAGTCCACACACGTAATACTATGTTACCGCTATAAAATAAGAATAAGAAATAAGAATGACAATGCGCTGAAACTGCATTGATGAATAAATGAATAAATGAATAATAAATAAATAAATAAATAAATAATTAAATACATGAATAAATAATTAAAACAATTAAATGAATGAATAAATACATAGTTTATGCCTGTTCAATATATATATATATATGTATGTGTGTGTGCGTGTGTGTGTGTGTGTGCGTGCGTGCGTGCGTGCGTGCGTTGCGTGCGTGCGTGCGTGCTTGCGCGCGTGCGTG